AAATAATATTCTCGCTTGAGGGAGGCGGAATGTGGAAATGTCCTTATGATCGCTCCACACTACATTTATATTCAATTCAAAATTATTTACTCTATTCATCGATATGAAAGCATATCAAAGTTATGCAACATAAATACATAATATTATACAATAATTTCTTACCCTTGTGTTGATTGGCTTGATATTCTACTTTGTTCTTTATTGATAATATACAAATGAGTACTTTCTTCATTGTATTTTATCAATTGTTTTCCTCTATCATCATCAATAAGGTTTATGAGCTGAGAAGGATCAAACTTCAAACTATATTTAATTCTCTTCCCAGTTATAGCTTCCCCCAAGTAAGATGATACCATGGTTGTTAGTTATGTCAATGATAGCCCATATTCAACCATTTTACCTATTGTTCTCCCTCCCTCAGCGTAGCACTCCTCTTGCTTGATTAATAATTTGCCCACCTATATGAAAGTCACAAAAAATCTCCAAAGAATGCTAACAATCCATTATTTTCAAGCCTTTCTTATTGCTAAATCAATTTCCTGATTAAGAAATTTCAAATAAGTAATATTAAATTACTTCCAAAAACAAAAAAGCTAGTAACATGATATTTTTAATTCACCTAGAAGATAATTTGTGACAATTATCATATAATTATATTACTAGCTAAACCGATTTATTAATGAATAAATTCCAACTACAGTAATATTCAATAAGATCCACAAACGAAAAGCTAGTAACAAAACAATAATGAACTAGTTGCTGGTGCTGTATGATAATATACCTTCTATCTATGCATACAAAATATGAAAAGATGAGGTACAAATACATATCACATAGTTATGATCTGAAAACATAACGATTCCAAAATCATGTTTTTCTTGCCTGTTCTTTAGGCTACTGGGCATTTATTCCAAAACAATAATGAAATTGCTTTTCCTTTTTAAAAAAAAAAATTAGAAATCTAGAGCGTCCCTAAAATAGCCGTACAATCATGGTAGTGGATGAATAAAAAATCGCATATTAATCATTGTGCGTATGTGATGCTCGCTACCATGTTTGAACGCACTGGTCAAGAATGCTTTAACCATCAAGCCATGAGTTCGATCGGCAAACTTATATATTAATGTCTATCAAATATGTCAAAATCCTAAGGTTAGGGTATGAAATTAATTACAAATATACTGATGGCGGGTAACTGAAACATACCTGGGTTAAATATATTCTGCAGCAATCACTGATAGGTGATAAGAGAGAAGCAAAAAAAGTTCACTCTCTGCAGCAATCTCTAATAGATGATAAGAGAGATGCAAAAAGGATTCAAGAGCAAATGATCATGTTAGCACCTACCGCCCAAAAATCAGATTTCTGGAATTTAGAAGTATATAAAAGCCTTTATCATCAACGAGTCTCAAAGATTTTCTGATTTTGTGTGGAGTGGGGTGTGGGCTAATGAAAAAAAAGAGAACTCACTAACTGTCAATTTTTAAAATATCGTATGAGAGAATATAGGAGGATTAGTTGTGGGCAATTTTGTCTTTCTAAAATTATATTTTAATATATAGTCCTTTAAAATAATTCTAACTTTTATGATCCTATGTACTAAATATTTTTCTCTACAGGTCTTTTATTCTAATTTTTCTTTAAAAAAATTACTTTTATGGTTTACAAGACAAAATTTCATTTACCTATTTATTTTTGCATAGCACAGAATTACTTGAAATAAACTAAATCAAATACCTTGAAGAAAGCTTTTAAATAAAATAATTAAAAGAGTCTTATTTATAAGTAAGAGAAAATATTTTTTATCCTAGGATATGTAATTTTTGCATGAATATATGCGCTATTTTACTTTTTATTTATTATTGTATAAATTATTTTTTTCTTGAATAGTATATATATATTAAATAAGAATAAAACTAAAAGTTATTAAATTTTAAGATAAAATTAATAATATTTAATATATTTTTTAAAAACATGCTAAAAATAATTTATAAAAAATAAAGAACTCATCAGCCAAAACCTTGATATGCGAGCGAGAATTTCAGCAAACCCATTAATAGCTAATTAATTTGAATATCAGTCTACTCTTAAAAAATTCTAAAATTTTACTACTTTATCAAAATTTTTTGTATGTGAAAACAAAAATATCTTTATTTTATTTAAGTTGCAAATCATTAAATTTTTATCGTAAATAGTTAAATTTGAGTTGTAAATTATTATAAATTTTATGAGTGAATGAATAATGCAAATTCGATGATTTAAATAAGAATTTATCAATTTAAAACAAGAATACAATGATTTATAACACAAAATTGACGATTTGTAATTTAAATAAAATAAGATATTTTTGTGTATAAAAAAAAAAGATATTTTTGTCTTTTCATACCCAAAAATTTAGTCAAGGGGATACGGTGAAATTTCAAAATTTTTTAAAGGATAACTTACATTAATTGACTACTAGAAAGGTTTATTGAAATTGTTTTTTTTTTGTTGCAGAAAGGGGGCCAAAGCCCAAACAAATTAAAACTGAATACGACGGGGGCAAGATCTGCCCAATCTATCCCTATCAAGCCAAGACACAATATCAGCAGGAGGACTTTCCAGCCAGTATGAACCAAGATTGTGACTTAGGCTCATCTTAGCTAGCTGATCTGCCACGAAGTTCCCTTCTCTGAGCACGTGTCTCACTTTCACCTCCCACCTCTCCTTAAGTATCTTGTTCACCTTCCCCACGTGTTTGGAGCTGCCTTCCCCATTATACACCATGTCCTCCAGCTTCCCCCCCCCCCCCCGTGACTACCAAAGAATCAGATTCAATTACCACCTTCCCTCTCTCAAATTTCTGAAGATATTCCTTACCTTAATTGACTATTCTATCTTTTGCTTTACTCTTTCTCTCTTATTCTCTTTCATTTTTTTTTCTTTATTTTCTATAAATATATATATTACATATTTATTTGCTTAATCACATTTAACCGACACCGGAGAGAGTAATTTTTAGTAGTTTCAGATATTATACATGTAATTCTCAAAGTACACAAAATGAAGGACAAATGTGATAAGTGTAGAGTAATAATCAAAGTACTGACAAAATGAACTACCTCATCGCTGGGCCACCTCTATATGCTAACTTTTAACAAGGTTGCAGCTGGCCCTGCTCCCTACTTTGTAGCCTCCTCATATTATCACTCCTCAAATTTTTTAGGGAGAATTACATTCAAGTTCCACATAAGAGAAATAATCACTACAAAGTTTCAAGTAACAACCTGAGCAGCCTGAAATAACAAGTCCTACAGTGAGAATGACAACGTCTGGGACTTGTTTTTTAATTACTTGGGACCTTACTGTAATTCTCTCAATTTTTTACCCTCTCATTTATGTACTGGGGAGTAAATTTTGGCAGCCTAAACAGTTTTTATCCATGTCACTCCTTCTTTCTCTGTTAGTACTCTCGCTTTTAATTATAAAAATTAGTTAACTAATTTCAAAAAATTAAAAAAAAGAAGTTAATTAAGTTATTTGTTATAAATAGGTATTATCTTTCTTAAAATATTCTTACTAATTAAATATATTGGTTAGAACTACTATTATTAGAAGGACTATCTTAAAAGAATGTATAAATATTATAGACAAAATAAATTTGAATCTTATATTTAGGATTAAAATAAAAATCAAACGAGATCTTATATCAAAAACCGAAGGTAGTATTTTCTTTTTGAGAGAGTCAAGTATATCGAAGGATAAAACCAACACCTTCGAATCTATAACATGTTCACATGATTAATTAAAAATTAATATAATTTTTATTCCTTCAAGTTTCATTTTATTTAAAATACTAATTCTTATAATCTAATAAAAATTTGAATCATTTTACCATTTAAAGAACCAAAACCAATTATTTAAAATTTAAGAAATCAAAATTGAAATAAAAAAACCTAAGAAGCTAAAAGATTACACTAACCCAATAACTAATTATAAATATAAATTAAAATGTACGAGGATAAGAATTTACCCATTGTGCATGCAAAGGAACTTTGCCGATAATTACGGAGATGGACCCCGCATTTCAGAGCGCGCTGTGTGCACGTGTTGTCCTATGCGTAGTTTTGAATTACTCCCATTCGAGGCCAAATGTCATACTCGAACACAAGATATCAATTATAGCATATATATTGCGGAGAGTAGCATCAAACGCCATATTGTTGTTGTCTAAGTATTCAACATTCTTATATGTTGTGATATTATTTTTCAGTTATATCTAGCATTCAAATTTTACTTGTGCTTTAGAGTGATATATATGCTATAAATAAAATTAGAGTATTAATGCATATAAAAAATAACATGAATATTCTATATGCCACTTTACCTATAATTTTCAAAGATAAAACAGAAAAAGTCAATTAAATTAAATGCCTCGAAAATGATGGAACCAAATCGTTACAAAATCCCAAATTAGTTCCGAGGCCTAATTTAAAATTTTAGAATTTGTTAAATTGATTTTATTACTCGTTTGATCCTATTTATAAACAAAAAAAACATTTTTAATCTTATTTATAAGGTATTAAAAAAAATTTCGTATAGATAAGCAATTTTATTTTTTATTTATTATTGCATTAATCTTATTTATATGAGGTATAAATAGGAATAAAATTAAAAAGTTAAATTTTAAATAAGAGTTAATAAAGTTTAAAATTTTTCTTGATAAAAGTCACTTATAAATAAAACCAGAAAAGCATATAATTTTAAAAACACTTTTTTATATTACCAAACATCCACTTAAAAAAAAAAACCGTACCATTGCTGGCGGCCACCATCACTCACGGCCGGCGACGGCGGCGCAGATGAAAGCAGGTTATCATCATTCTAGATGGATATTTAATTGGCTTCTTCCCAATAAAACTCGCCTGTTCTCCCCCCCCGGGGGGGGGGGGAGATAAAGGCATTCCGATTGTTTCCTCAGCAATTTCCAGCGCCTCTCCAGGCTTAACAAGGCGAGGTCATTTCAGCAAGCACAGGTTAACTGTAATCGCTCATGAGATTAAAAGATGAGGATGGCCCACTAAATAAATTATATTACTATATGGAGATTCAAAGCTTACCCTTTTACCTGCACTCTAATAACTCATCCACTCAAGTTTCAGCTCTCAACTATACAAATTCCAAATCATCATTCCCCCAAAATTACAATTTATGATCATTTCATTATTATGGGTCACACCAACCACCGCCCCTCCCAAATGGCCCTTTCGACTTTAATTCGGTGGGCCCATTTCAGCCCACCACCACCCAACTACATTCAATCTACAGTCACAGACTCACGCTACGGATACGACAGGAATCCAACCTTTTTAAAGGCGGGAAGGGTAAACACGGCATTTCACTTCTAACACTTGTTGGGCGAGAATCCCACCCTGGAGTTTGCCAGATCGAAGCTGACACGTGTCCCCTGTTGCTGCACATTCCCTATTATCGATAACGACTGCGACGACGGAGCAAATGCGAAGCAAAACGTCCCCGTCGCATCCACCGGGATCAGGTAGTTCTTCGCCGGCAGCTGCCACGATCTCCCTCCGCTGAAGTGAAACGCCACCGTCGGCACAGACACGCTCCTCAGTGAAGACAGATCGTAGCAGGTGTCGAACAGAGCAAACCCGCTGGTGGAGCGCAAGTTCTGTGTTAATCTCCGGAACTCGTCGCGGAGTGCGTTATACGCTTCACTTTGGAACCGAGTTATGGCCGTTCCAGAGTCTATGATGATTCCCCCTCTTCCAGATTGGTCCATCGCAAAGGCAGACGGGGGCAAGGAGACAGTTCGGCCTCCGACGCTGATTCCAGTGAGTCCGACGTAGTAGAAAGTGCCAAGCCTGCTGTTCTTTAGTAACGAGGCGGTGACAGAGTCACTCGGTGTGGCCGAGTTGAACTCAAGAGTCGACGATTGACTCGAGTCCCGATCAACAAGGCAGTACGAAAATGACGACGCTTTAATCTGAGATGTGAGTGACAGTGGCCCGCCGCCGAGTCCAAGTAAACCGGCAGCACCAACAAACAAACCCTCGTTGTCGTGGCCACAACCGAGAGCAACGCGGTTCACGGAGCCGGAGTTCCCGAACGAAACCGTTTCAGTTACGAAATCTCCGACGGTGAAGGACCCGTCACCGTACGCCACCTGGTACAGACACTTGCCGCTCCGACAAGCCGAGACGTCCAAAGCCCGGCACTGTGGGGCGTCGCAAGAAATCGAGCCGTAGGAAGAAGATCCGGAGGGGTTGAATATCGGGTCGGATTGTTGGTAACAATCAGAGCAAGGCTGGCACTGAAGCCAGGTGACATCGCTTCCGGTGTCAAGGGCCATGTAGAAAGGCTTGGACGGCTGTCCCACTCCGATTCTGGAAAAGTACTCGCCGCTTCCTTGACTAATGCCTGACGAAACAGGCATCGACAGATCTTCGGGCTGGATCTCTGTTTCAATCGGATGAAGATCCGACCTGTTGAGTTGGTCGAGAGCTAGCTGGAGCTTGGTGTTCAACGAATTCACTCGGGCCGAGTCACGGTTGAGTCGGGTCAGCACCAGGTCCTTATAGTCCTTGTGCTGGGAATTGAGTAAAGTTTCTCTAGAGTGTAACCGAACGGAGAATGAAGAAGAACTAGAGGCAATCTTAGTTTCTTCATCTTGCAGGTTATTAGGTCGAAGCTTTTCAGGGTTGAAGGTAAGGAGTTTCTGGGCTTGCTCAAGCGAGGCTGATACATCAAGAACAGCGGTGGAGAATTCAGAAGACTCGGACGATAAGCTGCGAGAAGAAGCAGAATGAAGAACAGAAAGACAGAACAGAAGCACTAGGGTGAAGAAGACGAATGCTTGATTCGTCATGGCCAGAATTGTTAGATGCAAAGCCCAGAAACTCTAGACTGTAGAAGCAAAAGATAAAGGATAAGTGCAGATTGGGGAGGGAAGCGAGGCTTGGCTTTATTAGTTTCAAAGAGAAGTGCTTACGTCAGATTTGTTGGTGGATGAACAGAAGTTCAGTAAATTGAGTCTGGAAGATCGGTCGAGAATTCAATTTGATTTGATTTTAATAGTATGTGGATACTGAATACCGGATGACGTTTGGACGAAAAGCATAAATATTTTAGTTGGGACATTAGAAGTGGGAGCTGACATTCAATTGGTCAAAACCAAAAAAGCTTACCTTTATAAATAATGATGATCATGGGGTAATATTAAAATTTAGAAGGAAAAAAAACAGAAGGCTAGAAGCACAGCGTATATGCCTGTTTCTGGCTCAAAAAAAAATTATATTAAAGGCGTACGTGAACTAATTATAAATGATGGTAGTAATCATGAGAAAATGGTGGGTCTTTTGTAAGTCAATGTTATGATTTAATCTTTTCTGAGTACTATTTGATTCGAGCAGTGTTAGGGTTCCCGTGATTCGGAACTTGTCAAATTACAGTTTAGATCAAAGAATCTTTTGTAGACGCTAATTTGGATAACAGAATCGAAACCATCAATTGGTGGATGTCATTTTCTTCTTTAGAAGCATGAGATTATTTCTGGCAAAAGTTGTTGGCCATCCTATAAAATCCCCACTGTAATTTGCAAAATAGGTTCAGCTCAAAAAAATTGGCAAAATAGAGCTCCATCTATTATTAAGGGAGTGTTTGGATAAAACCAAACTATGGTTTGGAGAATAGATTATGAGAAGAATAGATTTTGTGAAAAAGTGATTCTGAGAAGTGAGAGTATTTGGATAGTTATTATCAGAAGCACTTTTTATATATACAAATTACTAAAAAAAGTATAAATTAATATAATAATTACATAAAAGATAGATTTTATGATATATTTTAATTTGAAGGAATAAAATTGTTAATAATATATTTTTTACCAACATAATTAATAATACATAAGATAATGTAATTAATAAATAATTAATATGTATATATATTTATAAGATATAAGATTAAATACATTTATAAAAAAATAATTGAGGGATGTTAAAGTTATATTATTGTTGAGATCTACTCTGACAGGCACAATCATACTCTCTAATTTGAGTGAGAAGCAGAATTCACTTCTCCTAAAACTATGGTTTTTGTCCAAACCATGGTTTCAGATTATTGGCCCAAAATTGATGCTATTTGGGTGACATCCCATCCAAACTATGATTTTACCTTCCAAACCATGGTTTTGAGAGGCACCCAAACAGGCCTTAAGTATTCATTATCATTAAAAAAAATACACGAATTAAAAAAACATTATTTTATTTTTAAATTATCCTCCATAGTATCATACGTTTTTTTGCCACAACATTGTCATACTATTTTAAACATTAACTTCATCCTTTTAATGCCATTAATGAAAAAAATAATAATTATACCTTTTTTCTGTTGAAAAATAATAATTATGAACTCAAATTAGGACAAGTAAATAGAGGCAGAAGTATTTGACAAATTAAAATTGAATTTCTTTACGTTAAAAGTTAATTTTTTAACTACCTGAGAATTTTTCTAATAAACTATTGCAGACAGCCAAATTTTATTATGGGACTGTAATTTTAATTTTTAGAGTAGAAATAAACCAAGTAAGATACTATATAGCACATCGCGCGCACAATGTATATATTGCTTCTTTTTTTTTTTTCAAAGATATCTTTCTATTACAAGTAATCTTTTTTTTTTACCAGCTATTACAAACAATCTTATTCAAGATATTATCGATTACTAAATATTATAATTACGTCTTTTTATAGAGATTCAAACCTTAATTTTGTATTACGAAGAACCAACCCACTTACTTGCTACTGCTTTTTTTTTTTTTTTTGGTTACATACTTGCTACTGCTTTTAATCAATGCAGCGAGGAAGAGGGGCGGGCAGATGCATGGGCGTACCCGTGGATTGCATTAAATGGGCCTAGCGGGCGGCAACGTCTTAATTGCTTGGCGCTCTGCAGTTCCGTGACTAATGAGTAATGAGAGGAGCAATTGATTAACCAACAGAGGTTAGAGGTTACATCCAGCGAAAGAAACTAATTTCTCACACTATGATAAATCAAGATTTGACTTTCTACTATAAGAGGTACTCACATTTAGTATCCGACAGTATTTTGAATAAGATTATTTTTAATAAGAGAATGCCTATGATGCTCTTTCTGGTTTGGTTTAAAAAACGTTTTTTCAGAGTGATTTTATACTTCATGATATAACAGATTTTAAAGAAAATAATAATTGATTAAGATATTATTCTAAAGATATATTAATTATTAATTAAGTGTGAGTTAATTAGGGGCTACTTTAAATGAATGACACTTTTGAAAGTTTGTAGTGTAACATTTTTCTACCTATATTTAATGAGGTTAATCAGTTTTACAGTTTACTTAAAATTTGTCTTGGAAATCCAAAAGGAAGCAGTAGTAGTAGTACTACCTCTGATCTTTAGTATAAGAACTAGTTGACTAATTTGAGTAAATTAAAAATGCTAGTTTAGTTATTTGTAATAAATAGATATTATTTTTTCTAAAATATCCTTACCAATCAAGTGTATAGGTTAGAACTACTATTATTATAAGAAATATTTTAAAAAAATAAATAAATATAATAGACAAAATGAATTATAGTCTCATATTTGGAATTAAAATGAAAATTAAACAAACTTTTACATTAAATACTAGAAATAATATTATATAAGCGGCTGCGAAAAGCTTATTAGTTCAATTGGCATCCGATGTCTTTTGGAACAGACGAGGTCATGCGTTCCATTACCCATGTTGCTGTACCTTTTTTAAGGAGGAGAGATTTTGAATTGTCCATATATATATATACCTATCAAATTTTTAATATAAGATTTATTTAACTAATTTGATTAGATTAAAGAGGTTAAATAAGTAAGTTAATTATAAAAAATATAACATATTTTTTCTAAAATATATTAATCATCTTTTTTAATATCGTCTTTTTTTTACTTGATTATGGTTGAGAGAGTATTTATATGTAATTTAGAAAAAATTAATAAATATAACAAACATGTTTTATATGTACAATTAAAATCAACTTAACGATTAGGTCTTATATTAAAAAACAATATATATATATATATATATATAAGCGGGTCATGACACTGCATTAAGCATCATTCATTTCCTTAGGTTTTCTATGTTTCATGTGGGATGTTATGTACGAAAACATTCTCTTGCGACATAGTATTTGAATGTTCAACTTCCTTTTCTTCGTGAGAAATCAAAATCATTTAGCCTCTCATGCTTTATCCCATGTTTCGTACGAAATTGGAGGGAAAAGGAAGGAGTTTTTTTATTCAGTAAGCTTAATTTAAACAATTGAAAAATTCGAGTTATAAAATTTTAATAAAAAGAATGTGTAAGATAAAACAGCAAGTAAAATTAGTTAAAATCTTTTAATTTTACTTTTCTGGATTTTCAAATTGAACTCGTTAAGATTTTTTTTTTCTTTTTTTCCCCTCTATTTCCATCGTATAGAGTTCAAATGCCCCAAAAGTCCATATGAATAATACTACTATAATTTTTTCGCCAAAAAAAATACAACTATAATTAAGATTCATTAAAAGAGGCTGTTCTCTACCCAACCCAGCCCCAATAAAAAGAAGATGAAAAAAAAGAAAAAAGAAAAAAGGGTTGATGACCATGCTGCTGATATTACTTCCGCCTTTCTCAAATGTACGTCAATCTGGGACTTTAAGATTTTTAACATCGATCAAGAAAATAACTAAATTATAATAAAACATAGCAATATTTTGCCATATTATCCTTAACTGGGGAGAGATAGATGAAACGTAGAAAAGGAAAAAGAAAAACGGGTATCGACTTCCTCACGGGTTCCTTGTATAAATCCTCTCATTCCAAATATTCTAAATATAAAAGTTAAATAATTAATTTGTAAAAATTAAAAAATTAGTTAAATTAATTTTTTGTGAGAAATTAATGGTTTACTAAAATATTTCTTTAATACTTTTCCAGTCCTATTTATAAGGCACTTCCAGCATATTTCACACAGACAAAAAAAAACCTTAAACTTTATTAACACTCATTTAAAATTTAATAACTTTCCAACTTTATCCTTATTTAATATACATTATACCTCATGTAAATAAAGTCAATATAATAATAAATGAGGGATAAAATTGTACATTCATACAAAAAAATTTTCCCAGTATCCTATAAACAGGACCAAAAAAAGTCTTCTTTCTCTATCATATAAATAGGACCAAAGGAATAACTTGCATCCAAAAGTATTTATGGGTAGAAATCCTTTAACAAGTACAATTAATAAGATTAATTTTCAAAAAATAAATTATAAGTTTAGAAGATAAAATAAATTAAAGCTTACATATATTAATTCATTTAGTATCAAAGTAAACAATCATTTTGAAAAATTATTAAAAAAAAAAAAAAGACCTAGAGAGAGAGCATTTCTCACCCAGCTGAAATCTTGAAGCCATTAATTGTTCCCCCACCCTATCCACCCACGCCGCTACTTTTATTGCCTTCTTTTTTGCCATGATTTTTTTTGGGTGGAAGTGGGAGTAAAATTGAAAGAGAAGGCAGATACGAAAGGGGTTTTTAAGTGTGTTTGATATTCCTATGAAAATATAATAAAACTTTATTTTATAGAGTATATGTATTCAAATTATAAAAATACCAAAATGTCCCTAAAGGCCAAAGAAATCCCCTCCCAATCATAGCCACGATCATCCACAACTATCCTGGAAGAACAGTAAAGATGCCAATATCTCAGCATTTATAATGACGGATCTAAGAAAAATATTTGCATCTCAGAGAAAAAAACAATAATTGGAAAAGAGTATGAACAACCATTGAAGTTGGAGATCTAGATAGGAAAAATCCCAAAAAAATGATTGTTGAATTTCAAAATTCCAAATAAAAGATTATTACGTGTGTTGTTATTTGCTTTTTAAATGTAGTCATTTTCTTTACAAGTGTTTAAGATTTTAAAATTCAACAATTACTTTTTTAGGATTTTTCCATCTGAATATTAACAGTGAGGAGTTAAAAGAAGGAAACCACTATTATTGTTAAACTACTATGATGCAACAAGCATTCAAGTAAAAACATTTTCCTCATCCAAAATTTTAAAAATATTAATATTTTGCATTTAATACAAAATATACCTTCTTTTTCTAGGCTAATATAAATAAATATACCTTCAGAGCAAGACAAAAAATAAATCTACCAAGTGCATGCTAAAAAATACTTGCACTTTGCGATTAGCAATTTAATGAACATTCGGGAAAAATACTCCCAAAGTCAAAAAAGGAAAAAAAAAAGTTAAAAAAAAAAGTTTAGATTGGATATTAACTTTAATCTTAGCATCGTTGGCTGTGTTAAGACTAATATTAATGCTTTTTGCATACTTGGAGAATCCAAGTTGGATTGCAGGTACCAGGAAGAGAAAGAATCAGTAATTCAGTAATCATTATCATCAACATAGAATGTTTGAATTGGGTGTACAGCAAATGTGGCTCTTCCATCTCAATGTGTACTTGGGCAGGGCTCCTCATACGAGTGCAAATTACCTTCCCGAAAGTTGACTTCAACATTCTAGCTCTAATTTCTTTTTTATCATTAAATTATTGAATGAACAAGTAAGAATGTACAGACTCTTAACAACAAATTGTTTATCAATCATAAACTGCCATTAGACCACCAAAAGTCCAAAATTGCCAGATGGAATATTTTCTTGTTCAAGGGACGAAGAGCATAGAGCTCTCTACATCCAAAAGTGTTCCAGTTGCAGCAGACGAGAAATACAGGTTTAATTCTAGCCATTGGGATCCAGATAAATTCTGGAAATTAAACACTTCACGGATCCTGTTTTGGGTATTTGCGAACCACACACATCTAGCTTTTGTAAATCTCTTATTGGTGAGCTAAGGGGTAACACCACAAATAAATAATATAAAAGTCCATTGCTCAATTTGATGTATATATTTACTAGTACTCAGGTAGCGTCACATGATAACATCTGCATGTCTATGTAAGCACAACAAAACGTTCCCTTGCCTAATCACTAACTTTACAACTTTAACCTCATCATAGATCATTTTTAAGTACAAGACAGCATGGGTACTATGTAGCATATGTACAATCCATATTAGAGCGTCCCCATAAAACTGATATAGACTGAAGCACTTCATTGTTCAGCAACCACCATCAGCCGGCTCAATTGTACTAAGAAGGCCATTTCCTCTCAATTGCATGCAATGCTCCTCAGCATCCACTTGAGCACAGATGATTACCACAGACAGTCCATTATGATGTGCCTCTTGCATTATGTTAACAGCATTATCAAGTGTCATTCCAGGTATCACCTTCATCAACACTTGAACAACATATTCTCGCTTGTTAAAGTTGTCGTTGTGCAGCATTACCCGATAAGGTGGGGATGTCTTTCTTGATCTCCTGCAAGACAATACACATCATCGATGTTTTGCCATCTCTTGGCACTTTCAAATTCCTCCTAACAGCAGGCAGCAAAACTAAAATAATTTGCACAAATCCAGAATCATAGCATGCTTTTTGTTCCTTAATATAAAGTAAAAGAAAGAAATCGGTTCTCCAAGAGAGTATTAGAAGAAGAAAAAAATGTATGTTGTCACATTCAACCACAGCAATACAAGAAATTAGGCTAAAATATGCTTCCTGTCAAAAGCATTCAGATGACAATACTTCCACCGTAACTATCACAATATGCCATCTACATCAAACCACGCAAACATATAAGAGAAACAAGGTAACCAGACTAATACTAAACAGTTTACCAGTCTTTAATTAAAAGAAATATGAGATGCAGCGAAGAAAATCGGATTCAAACAACAATATTACGGAGAGCAGTTTTTTTTTTTTTTTTCCCTTTTTCCTTTTTTATTTCGGGGGTGGGGTGGGAATTGAAAGAACATAATCAGGTGAGAGAATAATTGGATATAGTTCAATCCTAACGTAGAAAGAATATCCCCGGCATCATTTCTGTAACTGTAACTGCAATTGTTGCCTGCTTGGTTTGATATAGCTGTAATATTGAAGCTGTGGTGAATAACATTTTCTGCAATCAGCCCTCAACGTGTAACTATGCTGTGCAGAATCAAAAGGCCGAATGTGCAATCAAAATGGGTTATTCCAATTGGCAATCAAGTGTCCTTGATTGATGACACGTACAACATGGAATGCATACAGCAGAGGGTTTTCACATCTAACATGCACTATTGATATTGTCGGTCAAGGATTCACCAACAAGCTGGTAGGAGTTTTAGTTATACCTGTAAGACAGTCTATAAACAGAATGTATGAACCAACACCCACGAATTTTTCATCATTCTATAGAGAATATCCAAGCTGCTTCGTTTAAAGTAAATGTTCTAATACACCAGAACAGGTACCATTATAAACAGAATGCATGAACCCAATCACCCAATTATTTTTCACCATTCTATGGAGGATTTCCAAGCTGCTTCGTTTATAATAAAATTCCTAATAAGCCAGAATAAAAGTCCTAATGATTAAAAACTTCCATACTGCGCCTACAAGGCAATTACCGCATATCAAACTCGGATTCCCGACCAGGTGTTGTCTCTATGGTGGGCCTCTCCAACAACCCCCCACCTTTCCCTACTCCCGTGGCTGATGCTGCCATTAGAGTGCTCCGATTTTTGTTATATTTAAAAAGAAAACGTTTACCACCTGCGGTTAGAAATTGGAACAATAGCGGGAATCACTCTAATTATGATGTAGGGGAAAACGAAAGAAGTGAAGAAATGCGATAATTAATCCAGAAAACAGCGTTTCTCATATTCGATGCTCTTTCACCTGAAAACTTTCAATAAATCTAAACAGCTATAGCAGTTTCTTCGCGCAATTACCAATTCTAAAAAAGATTCGAGGTGGATAGAGTATGTACCACGATTTCTAGCATTCAAAAAATGGTTGGGAGATAGGGCAAGTTGACTACACAATGCAGCTTCCATGGCTGCGCTCTCGGTGTCTCTCTGCTTCTCTCTTGCTGTATGTGGCTAACGCTCGAGACAGCTGCTTCTTGAGAGAACGAGCAATTGACGAAGCCAGAATGATTTTCTACGGTCCTCGCTGAATTAGTTTTTGGAGCGTTGATATGGTGACACGTCGTGCACACCAGATCCTGAAATTATAATTCCGCATGTAAACCTTATGTCATAATCAATCCCGCAACAAAAATCTATAGCGTGTATAGATTCTTCACGCTTGTGGCTTTTTTTTTAAAAAAAAAAATTTATCAAAAGCCTCAAATTAAAAAATTAACCATGCAAGTATATTTTTTTGGCTTCAAGATCAGAACGCAAATATACCAAGAACTCATGTCTTGCAAAGAGTGTAATTCTTTGAAACATGGGAGAATTATTTAGTGGACTTGATAATATTAGAATTTTTCAAATTAGGGAGATACTGCTCCAATCTTAAATATAAGACTCTTATACACACTAGTATAAGGGTATTATATTTAGGACTGAAAGAATAGATATTAGTGATCTAAGATAAAGTTATAAGCCAAATCGAGCGCCAACTTTTTACTTATTATAAGTTTTTTATGCTACTAAGCTATAAGAATATCGGGACAATATTAGAAATTGACATGATAATATTGATTTTTTTTTGCCAAGATAATGTTGATATTAGATAAGATATATTTGTGCAAAAATGTAAGTCACTTCACCCAAAAAAAAAAGAAGGTAATTCTAACTCCTTTGTCTCAACCTAACATGTATCGAGAGACACTTATTGAAAGCGATCTTCTACGGATTTGTGGTTGCAAAAACAATTGGATTTTCATTTTCATCAATACACACCTATCATATGAAATTGACACTTATTAAAAAAAAAACGGCTACAAACTTCCTTTAAATCTAAATTAATTAAAATCTTCAGAGTAATTTACAAAAGACTGTAAATGTTAAAAGAAGATATAATAAATCTCTTAAATTAACATAAAGATCCACAATTTTCCTCTAACCGGATCTACTTATAATGTGGGTTAAGATGAATTTTTAAACCCACCCCCCCACCCAAGGGGTTTTTTTTTAAAATAAATCTGCATTGGTTTGCCAGAGTTACCAGAAAGTTCACAGGAAAAGCCCAAAAAGCCATCAACTGTAGCCGAATCAACATACAATTAGGGCCGCAATGCCTAGACCATGGAGAATTGCATTATTTATTTATTTTTCAAAAAGTTACTGCCTATTTATTGGCTGAATGAATATACATGCGCTGGGTAAAATTGTAAATTCACTAGTTTTATTTTAGTGAAAGAGTGTCCGGTACAAGCCAGCCCAACGATGATTAGGCCTATTCGGGAACAGAAAGGCTCATACAGAGAGCAACCAATACAAGCCAAACCAACGATAGTAGACCTATATGGTAACGTTAGGCTCAAACAGCGCAACCCAAAGAAAAAATATACAAGGAGGAGGAGAAATAAAATATGTACATCACGTGAGGCAAGTGCCCCCCTTGATCGAAGCCAGAGTGGCCGCATAGTTTACGGCTTGAACAGAGTGCAGAACCGGGCGATCTTCTATCTTCAAATTCTTAATCTTCTGAGTAACAACGTTATAAGACTTAATCTCCCCACCACACGTTTCCAAAAGAAGTTCATCTCCCTTCCAGAAAACCAAAGGTTTAGGTTCTTCTAATAGAAGACTTGTCACACTCTGCATCTTGGTCCATGAATCCTGAGCACCAGATCCTTTCATCACCCATATGTCAATCGACATGTTCAGGCCAAAACCAGAACAGCAAATCAAAGAGAGTGATTCCTTCCACTCAGCTAAAGATCTACCCTCAGGTTTGCTGATATCCACGTTATCTGGCGCAGACACTTTGTGGAAAATCTCGTCCCCAGTTCTGAGTGCTAGGATAATTGTCGACTTGTCTCCGCGTCTGAAACCCCACCAGTAATACGTTCCTTTGAAGAACAAGGCGAAACAATCATCAGCAAAATCAAAATCCCTAGTGTTGCTATTGTACATTCTTGTCCATGAATCAGTGCTCAGAGAATACACCTCCATACGATTCGTGGTGTACACACCAGTATCCACAGACCAAATCCTCACAACCTTGTAATCATCGGTTATAGAATTATATCCCAATCCAACAGCTAAAGCAAACGAGGATTTGGACAGCATGTTTGAATCAGGAAGGCATTTGAATTCCCTGGTCGCTGGGTTATACAAATAACCTCATTACTGTGAGACCAATAACCTCCTGACAAGCAGAGTATCCCGTTACAGTGACCCGAAATTCTGAATTTCGTGGAAAGAAGTTTGACTCTGGGCAAGAAGGTATCATCAATAGAAGAATCGTTGTTAGAGAGGGAAAAGAGTTTGTAGTTTTGCATGTAGAAGCCATAGGAAGTAGTGGGGAAAGAGAGCCTGAGGAACACACTATCATTGAAGGCGTGGTGTTTGATGAAATGAGAGAGGTGAAGGGCTCGGAAGATGGGATCGGTGAAGAGAGTGTACCAGAACTTGCAGACACACTTGAATCGCGATAAGGATTTGTAAGGAAGCCTTGAGAGTATATCCTCTAATAGTTCCTGAGGCAGATTTGAATTTGATTCACTCACCATTTACTACTGCTTCTTTCTTCTCTGGTCTTCCTTCTTCTCTTTGTCTGGTGGTCTTCAGGCGATAGGCAAGGAATGGCTATTCTTTCCGGTTCATAATGCTATCATTTTTAGCCATATTTATTATTTAGGCCCCACAAGAAAACCATATTATGATTTTTCTTAGGTGAGAAGAACAAGTTGGTTATGATTTTTTTTTTATATTATTTTTATTGATTTATAAACATATTGAAAATAGTAACTAGATGGAGCCTGGCTGCCAAGGATATCAAAACAACATATTTGTAAGAACAAATTCGATTTCGCCTTATAGCTTGCTATTCCATTCTTGTGTGTAATGGAATTGCCCTCAAGTCTGTGACCCCCGGATGGCGTTAATTTAGCTTGAGGGTAAATTTCTTCAATTACTATTTAATAAACAGTGCATTTTTTTTTTTACTTCGTACTCGATAATGCATGAAAAAATATGTTTAATTTCTTGTAAATTTTAAAATTTATATTAATACCAGATTATATTATTTTTGATTAATTGATTGATTATATTATTAACAGATGAGTTTGTGATGCAAGCAGAATATCAAGGCTCTGTTTGTGACAGGGTTAAAAATAACTTTACAAACTTTTATACAGGGGTGTTCAACTTATCCATCCCGATCTTGGTCAGTTCGTGATAAAACAGGATAGGACACGAGACGGGGTCATCCCGTCCTGTCTCGGAGTATTTTTGTAAAAATTATTTATTAATAATAATTATTATATTATTTAATTCACTTATTAATAATAATTATTTTTATAGTGATTTTCAGTTCTTAAATTGTAATATTATCTCAAGGAAATCTCTTTCCTCAAAAAAATAATTCATAAAGTCATCGTGTAATGTTTCTTTTATGTTTTTTTTACAGTATTGTTTTTACACTTTTTTATACTATATAATTGAGTTTTTTACATAATATTTTTATCTTTAAAAGCCAATAAAATAAACATTATAACATAAAAAAATTCATACAAAAAATAATAGTTTTTTTTTTTAAGAAAAGGTAAACGGGGCGTCCTATTTCTGTCTTGGTCTTAGTCTTGACGGGACCAGAAGAACCGGGACTGGATGGGATAGGAGACGAAAATCCTGTCCCATTCCTGTGTCTTGTCCCGTGAACAACCCTAGTTTTATATAAATTGAGATAAAATTTTTTTCATATACTTATCTCGTATTCTATAAATCGTGATTGAAGAATACTTGTAAATTATTCCAAACACACTATTAGTAAAAACAAATCCAAGTGAAACATATCCAACTTCTTTTGTTTTTTGTTCAGGTAAAAAAAGCATTTCGTTCTTTTACGTCATTTGTCCTTCTAATTTTTAAATTAGTGTCCGCAAGAATTAACAAAACCGTTACTCGACAAGTCGCTATTAGCTCGCTGTTGCCACAGGTTCAGTGGGCGGCTGAAGAAGCACGAGGGTTGCATGAATTTCTATTTAGTTTATTTTTTAAATGAAGTTTTATCTCAAATATTACTATCATCTCTTATCATAAATATAAAAACTAATTGAATAATTTAAGTAGATTAAGAAAATAAGTTAGATTAGTTATTTGTAATAAATATGTATTGTAGTTTCTAAAATATTCGTATTAATCAAATTTATTGGTTAAAACTATCGTTATTAGAAAAATTATCTTAATAAATAAATAAATATAAGAGACAAAGTTAATTAGAATTTTATATTTAGGACCATAATAAAAATCAAATGATGTCTTATATTAAGGACCAATAGTCAGATACAGTATTGTATATATGGAATAAATAATTCATAAGAAAAGGAATAAATGAGTATCCCCAAAGTGTAATAATTTTAGAGAAAGATCTCGATAAAAAAAATGCCAATAATTAAAGTTATCATTCATAAATTTTAAAATTATTATCCATCTTCTGTAAAATTATAAACCCAAATTTTTTTATCATCCTCGATTGTTATTGAATCATAAGATCATTCTATTTTATACCTCACAAAATCATTTATTAAATATTTTGTTGATTACATTTATTAAATATTTTTATTCATATTATGTCAGACATTTTTTAAGAAAAAAAAATTTCCCCGTGGACGAATTACTGAAAATAGGCCATAATATGTATATTATTAAGTTAAAAGTAACTATCCTATTAATTTTTTTCCCCAAACTATGCTATTAATTAATGATCCAAAGGAGGCATAATTAGTTTCTAACATTTTTATATGGGAAAAGGGTAATGAATAATTTGTATTAAAAAAAAGGGTAATGAACAATAGTTATCCGCAAGCCAAGTGTCTCATAGTATATGTAAAACGTGTGTCCGTATGCTTTCTGTGTTCTTCGCAAAACTGTTTTTTGAATTTGTATTCAGATACTCGTATACGCAAGTGAATTGACGATTAATGATAGGCCA